TTTAAACGGGTGTGGAAATCTGACCGTGCTGCACCTGCCAGGCAAAATGGACGTGTCAATCCGATCCGCTGTAGACCGCAAGTGTCAAGTTGGAACAGAGTAAGAAGCGTTTACTTTAGGGTTCTTGAAGTATGTTGTTATATATCTAATGCGCAGTCAGGCTACATGATACACATGCTCAAAAACCTCCCAAAAGCGAAAACAAGCGGTTCTCTTGAACCACCCGATGAACAGAATCCAGTCTCACCAAGTCAGGCAGCCCCGCGCAACCCTTGGACTTCGATGTGTTGGTATGGCAGTTCGTTGCTCCCAGCATGCATTGAGACAATGATTTCAACTCATTGGCATTCTGAAGTCCATCTTGAACAGGTGATGATTTCCGTGTTGTCGGTCTACTGGTTTGCATCCCAAAGGCCTCTTGAGTTCCAGCTGGAAAATCACAACATTCTTCCTTCATCTTTCTTCCAATCTTCTCCACAACTCCATTTGCACGAGATCTTTAAATTTGGAAGGCAGCCCTTCGACACTCAACACCTCCACCGCTTGCAAAGGTCGTTGCATGTGTGCCTGGGCCGGTGCATGTCGTCGCTCCTTTTTCTGACCCACCTCACTTTGGAGTGGATGGCGGCGCTGCAGCCCCACCCTCGTGATTCCAGAAGAGCGGAGCTGGATCTCGGACACTGCCTCGGTCAGCTCACGGTTGGAAACAAGGAGGGCCACATCCCCAATCCCATATGTTCCTGTATGGAATTGCATTGCGGGTGGCTTCGGGGGGCTTCCTGTATGGATATACATGGAGTGTCTGGGACTAGAAGCTTCCCTGATCACATGGGGCATCTAGGACCTGACAGCTTCGACGGTGCCCATGTTTTCGAATCTCAAAAAGCGAACATACATGGACGCTCACAAACAATGACGGTGCATTTGCCCTATCAGGTTCAATTAGACATCATATACGGTATAACTGCATAACATTATAACATAACATAAAACATACTATCCATGAGGTGTTGCATTCAGACTCTGCTTCAGGCACACTTGAACTACACTTCGGATGACTTCGGTACTCTTGTGTACCTTGCCGGCCTTGCCGGCAACGAGGCAAAGGCACCCCGATACCATCACAACTGAAGAGAATCGATGAGAATCCAAGCTGCTTGTCGAAGCCTCTGAGTAGCGGGAGCTCTGCCTTCGCAGGCTGTGCCTTCCACGACGAGCTAACACCGCAGCTTCCTCCTGAGCCATTTTGCGCCGCTGCGCAATCATGGTATATATCCTGAGGTCGCTGAGGGGCCGCTGAGGCGAATCACACAAACAAACTTCGGCCATGGGCGATTCATTCTGCTGTTCAAGACTCCACTGAGACGGGCAGAAGTCGCTGGTTGGGAGTACAACCTGGATTTCTCCTCCGGTGGCGGAGTCCGCTCGGACCCGCTCGGACCTGCTCCCCGGAAGAGCGGAACGGTCCGGCCACAGCCACCAGTGGTTTGGATGGGCGGTACGAGGTCTATGTTCAAACCATCTTTCCCAAATCGAAACTAACATATCAAATAATATCAATGCATATCAATACATCCAGTACGGACTTGAGCAGTCTGTGGGAGGCCTTCAAAAGGCCACATGGGAGGCCTTCAAGGCCCACAGACGGCCCAGTGCATCAAGGCCGAGGATCTGATCCCGGTAGTCCGAGGCCTTGAGCTTCGTCATGTCTGCGATGGGCATGCGGATGACCTTGTCACAGAGCGGCTCCGCTTCTTGCAGAAAGAACTTCTCCAGGAAGACCTGAGGAAGACGTGGTTTTTCGATGATCTGGCGAGGTCAGGACATGGGTTCCAGATGTTTGTCCTATTTTTCACTGGCTCTTCAGGCGTCGCTTCCTGGGTCGGACACCTTCTGCCCGGATGAAGAAAAGACTCCGATCCCAAAAGTTCCCAAAATCGTGCAGTAGGTCGTGTCAGATCTTATGGGTGTCAGAGGGACACATCAGCAGATTGCTTTTGGAGCAAGACATGGAAGATTCATGTGTTGTCCCGAAACTCTACGTATTTTGGGGCAGAACCCAGGTGTATCGAAGGAAAAAGGCAACACAACATGGGGTGATGTGCTGTTTTCATTGAATTTCTAACATGTACTATATATATATATATTATACATATAATTTTGGAATATAACTGCTAATCCCATCGATATATTATGAATGCTATGGTACACCATCCAGCAGCAACCGGGGCAACCATGGAAACAACAAAGTTTCACCGAAACTCCGTTCACGTCTGCAGTCCGGACGAAGAAAAACAACAACCCGAACCGTGGGATTCTGCGAGAATCAACTCCTGTTGAGATGAAATCGCCCATCTCTTTCGGGTTCAGTTGCAGGTGTCAAATGGAAACCCGTTCATGCATGTGACACCGGATCCCCAGAAGACTCCAAACCGAAACATGTAAGGCCAACAGCCCCTAGTAACCTAGTATATAGTTGAACTAGCTGCTAGCCGAGCGCGAGCATATTTCACCAATACCTCACCAACGTATTCAATGGAAATTCGTCAGGTCGATCCGACACCCCATATGGACCATGGATGTCCGGTGGAAGGGCCAGGGGCGGATCGGACTCCGTCGGATCGGACCCACACCAGCCGAAGGCCGAGACACATCCTGGAGGGCAAGCTCTGCGGAGGGTCTTTTCTCTGGATTGAACTTCAGCAAATTCAGTGTCAATGTCTTGGCCAACTGCGGCAGCTTCAGAAGAAACAGCACACCAGAAGAGGGCATTTGTCGCACATTGCCCAAGCTCTCCAACATGCTTCGCGCGTATTGCGACGTCGTCACAATGGGGCGCAAGTCCTGTTCACTGGGTTTGCCGGTCAGCTCGACCACCTTTTGAAGCTGGTCCATGGCGGATCTGCCTCTCAAGATGGGCTTTCCAGCCACCATCTCGCCCAGGATGCAGCCCACGCTCCACATGTCCACGCCCTCGGCATAGACCGTGGAGCCCAACAGGAGCTCTGGAGCACGATACCAGCGCGTGGCCACGTAGTCCTTGGCTTGATGAACTTGGAAAACATGAAACATATTCCATAAGGAATCATAGAAGGAAAAGAACCAGGAACCGGGCTTTTCTTAAGGAACCAGAAGGGGAAGAAAACCCATAGGTCAAATAAACAATATCACCTGATCGGCAAAACCAGGAGTCCGTCAGCAAGGGAGGAGCCTCACCTTCGGAGCTACGAGAGTCGCGGCGGGTGGGCAACAGCTGTGGTAGAGCCGTGCGGGCCAAGCCGAAGTCGCAAATGCGAGCGTGGCAGTTGGAGTTCAGCAGGACATTGGCAGGCTTCAAGTCGCGATGCAGGACACCAGCGGAATGGATATACTTCAAAGCCTTAAGAACCTGGTAGGTGATATACTCTACATGAATGGGCTGCAGCAGGTTCCCAACAATGGCCTTCTGCAAATCCGACTCCATGTAGTCGAAGATGACGTACAAGTCCTGGCTGCTGTCAGCCTTCATCACGTTCATCAAACGAACAATGTTCTCGTGGCCGTTCAACTCCTGCAGAAAAAATGATCTCACGAAAGGTCCGCTGAGCATCCGTGGAGTTCTGGAAGGCATCAAAGCAGCGTTTCAGTGCAAAGGTCCTGCCGCTGTCTTTTTCCTGCTGAGTGAGGCAGGGGGAAAACTTGGGACTGAACACCTGGCCAGTGAAAAATAGCACCAACATGGACCGGAAAACACAATTTCTCTACGAGCAGCATGGATGTTCCATTATAATGTTAATTCTATTGTTGAACTTGCCGTGTGGCCGGGTGTAACTACTTGTGATAGGGCATGCTCCAGCGCACAGTTTCCATATCTGATCGCCTTTGGGCCAATGAGGTATGATGCCATAGCCCTCACCAAGACCTTAACCTTTAATCATTGATTCCAGTAAATGTGGATTCTCCTCTCAAGATGTCTTGCAATCAAAGGCAGTAAACGCTTTGAGAACATAATGCCATGATAGCAATAGGATAGGCTATAGTTAGTGCCACTAGCTCATCTGGCAGTGGGCCAAAACCAAGATAATTACCGTTCCAAACCCGTTAGGAGGGTCAAACCACAGGGCTCCAGGTCGAACGTGCCACCCCCATCAGCCTAGTGTGATTCACTCCGCGCCTTCCTCCGCACACACCACACACACAGACCGACGTTATATGTCCTTTACTTTCCACACGATGCCATAGGCGCCCTTTCCCAAGAGCTTCAGCACCTGCAAAATCCGAACGAGGGCCGAAGAGCCTCCCAAGTGTTCGGCCGTCTTTGCCAATCATTGGGGACCAAACAGCTATATAAAAAACAGATCCACCTCCCCAAGAAGCTCAAAAACACCATCACAAACCCATCAAAACCCTATAGTGACCTGAATGTATACTTTTTGAATCCTTGATTTGCTCCATCCTCTTCCAACGCCTCTTTTCTGACCGGGCTCTACTCCGGGCTCTCCTCCATTCTGCTCCCTCTCGCTCCCGGTGTTTGGTCCGACCCATCCCTCCGGCCTCGAAACGTTTCAGCACACTTTGGTCCGGCAAGTCGCCCGACTTCCCTTCGCCCATCGCGTCGGATCGAGCCACCGCTCTCGGCGCGCGGCGCGGAGGACGGGATGGGAGGCCGGGCGCGGGGCGTGACTGGTGATTTGGGCACGTGCGTGATGGGAGGATGGGAGGGAGAAGCTCCCCCTGGTGGGGCCCTTGGTCCCAGGAGTGGGGTATATATGTGTATAGATATAATGTATAATATTATATATGTTATAGTTATAGCTCTTTTCTTTATCTCTCTCTCTCTCTCTCTATCTCTCTCTATGGCCCTCTTCAAGAGTTTAGCCATTTGGCTACAAGAGTGGATTTTTCAGATGACTTATGATTTATGATGAAGAGCCGGGGAACTATATATCCATCTACGCGAAAAAAAGGAAGTGGCTTTGAGGATGACTCTGCCAGGCACACTTCCCCAGGCCGATCTTTGTCTCTTTGACCAACTGCAGTTCCAATGGATCACCGGAAACCCTCATAGGACAGATTGTAATTGTAAATCAAAAGGTGGGCTGCATGTCACTAGAATATCTACATACAACAATTATCATAAAACATAACAACAATAACAATACAACATATATAGTACTATATTATGAGTAATGAAATGTAATATATAAAGACACACTATACACATCATGTATGTATATATATATCATTGATTATCATAGTATATATAGTATAGTTATATATGTATATATGCACATGTTACATCATGTACTGTATCATGGGTGACATTTCATGCAGTGGGTGAAACGGTTTTCTACCTGACATTGGGCGGCGATCCGTTGTGCCATGCGAAGAGCAGAACCATGTCTGGCATGTTTTATTGGCCTTCAACTCTCATGGGGTAAAGGGCCTCCAAATCCACCCTGTTGGTGCAAGTGTTGGCCAATGTTACAGGGCCTGTTCTACAAACTGGCAGTTTCGTAGTGGTCACATGCAGTCACACATGTAAACAAATCGCAAAACCTCAAGGCTGCTCATGGGTGCCAAGCGGTAGTGATTGAGTTGCAAATCCATTGGCCACTCTCCAAAGCGGCTATGCAAAAGCACATGCGGACCATAAATACATATGAATACCTTATAAGCAGCAATGGTGCTTGTCTGGGTCGTGTGCTGGAGTACTCCTCCGCTACGGTAGGCAGGGCGACCCTCCGTTCTCCAACACGGAACATGTTGCCAACTACTCTCTGAAGATTCTGAGCATGCCTCTGCACGTGTGGAAATCACGAGTGCCTGCTCATTCGTTCCTTTATCTTCTCAGGCACTGCAACTCACTGGTAGGTGGAGCCACCACTACTTGTGAAACCTTGAAGAAGTGGACCTAGATCAGCCAAAGGTGCCCAAACGCTGAGGAGTCGATCAGCGAAGGAAAATTCACCTTTTCCCTTTCCATGTCTCCCCCATCCAGTCTCCGGACCTTGCCACAGGCGGTGATGGCCGCGTTGCGGAGTGCTGTGTCCATCTGCCTTGTGCCTCAGTGAAGGCCTTTCGGGGTGGAGAAGAACAGGTCCAAGGTGTTTTGAAAGTAGAAAAGGCTCCCAAGTGGGCTTGAAGACTGCTTCAATTCCATTCAATTCCTCTTAGGATCTCTTAGGTCGCTCTCGAAAAGATACACTCCTGAGCCCTCCCACCGAGCAAAGCGAGTGCCATTTCCCACTCGCCAGACCTTAGCCAGATCCACTTTTACACTCTGAGTCCTCCATTACTTGGAAGTGGATGGCATGACCTCAAACAGAAAGTGAACTCATGTGAACTCCACTTCCATAACATGCATGAGAAGATATGAGAAGCACAATGAGGCAACCCACTCTAGAATACAAACGTCAACCTCCTAGTGACTAGCGCCATGTCCACCATGTCCACTTGGGCCAAAGTCTTGAGTCAGCACGGGCTCGCTATACTGCCATAGGGTCATCTGCCGGCTAAGGTCTCTAGGCTCTTCTCACTATACTCTCTAAGTCACTAACATGGAAGTAGAGTTCGCCCCCCATTGGCCAAAGGGGACTTGCTTGGATTCCAAGGGGTCATGCCATCTACATAACCATGATTATTTCAGGGAGTGTAAGACTGTCAAGACTCCCACGAATGGGTTAAGATATGGGAAAATTTACAGAAAACCATCATGTTTTTCAGGGAGTCTAAAGGTTTGATATGATTATGTCCATGATTATGTCGTTATGATTATTTTTCAGTTGTTGTCCATCTACTGTATAACTACACAGGGGCCAACACGGCTAACGCGGTTAACACCGCGCTGAAGCTGACCGCGTCGCACCTCCCAGCCGCGCTGACCGCGGCAGAGAGGATCTGGGCGTCGGCAGGCAGCCGAGAACGCCTCGCTGACTGATGATGCCACCGAGCTCAGCGCGAGCAAAGCTGCGGTGACGCTGAGAAATGATGCCACTAAAAACCCGGATAACCATGGATATCTTTGGTCAGTTGTTGTGTATATACCTAGATATCCATGGATACAAGTAATGTTTGGGCAGTTGTGGTGTACCTGGACATGTGTACCTGGATATCCCATGGATATATTTGGGCACCCCCAGGTTGCTCAGTTGTTTAGAGACAACTAGCTAAGACCAGTACCTGGATACCCCTTTCTAGGCAGTAAGAAATGGTTAAACGTATTTCAGAACCTACTGTGGTGACGGGGTAGTGTTCATTCCGTGTCCTCCATTGATTGAGCCAGCAAGTTGCAAACTGATCTTCCTCAGGCTGTTCGCCTTCGTGGGGTCCCGTCCATTGATCTACCATCTTTTTAGATCTGATCTTTCGATTGCAGTACACCTTTAGATGACGATAGTCATGAACTCCATGGTTCGCGTGACTGCTGAAGTCACGCCTCATGTCCATGAGTAGCTCCAAAGCCGCAGCCCAGGCAGCAGCCTCACGGGCAGTCCATCGTGCAGGTGTGCATCATGAAACACAGAGCGGCTGAGCGATAGTAGAAACAAGAGAAACACCTGTGACACATCTATCCCAGCACCAAACAGCCAAGTTGGGTCTGGGATCTTGGGGGTATTCCCAAGGAGGACCAACAGGGTTCATCTGAATACATCTTGATGAACCGTTCTCGCCGCAGTTCTTCACCCTTGAGACGGTCGCATGCAAAATTCGAAAGGAACTTGGAGAATGCTTCTTTCGCATTGCAGAATAGCCCTTTTTTCAACTTTTGCAGAAGTGTTGCAGTTGCCCTCCCAGCTTGCCAAACTCTGTACAAAATGTACAAACTGTTTAGGAAATCACATGATATTACATGTTACTTGGCACATACTGCTCAGAGCTCTTGAAGCCATTGTCAAGCATTGACTGTACCATGGTTTTGACCATGGTCTCCACACTATTGAAGCGAATGTCAAGAAGCTTCTCTGCCGGAGACACATCATAGAGCACAGGCTGTGGTGGGGCTGGTCCCATCACAGCAGGCCCTAGGGTTTCTGAAACTTTGCTGGGCACTCTTCCTTTCATCTCCTCAGGCAAAGCCTCTTTGATGTATCCGGCGACTTCCTGGAAATGAGGGGAGCCGCCAATCAAAAGAATCCGTTCACCGCCCACCTCGCGATACGCCGCCTCGAGATGAGCTCGGGCCACATCGCGCACATCCACGACCGTCTTGCAGGCATTCTCAATCTCGCCCAAACTTCCATCCATGTATCCGACCAGCGCACTCGCGGAGGTGTTCAAGTGGGGCTGACCCGGAACCATCGGGCCCAAGATCAGCGTGGGCAACAGCACCGTCAGCTTGAAAGGACAAGCAGGGTCTTTGCTCATTTTCCACGCTGTCTGCTCTGCTAAGACTTTGGACAAACAATACCAATTCTCCTTTTCTCTCAATAAGTCAGCTGGTGACCAGTCATCAGCAGTGTAGACATGCTTCGCGGGAACGGCTCCGTAGTTCACATAAACACTGCCCGTTGATGAGGTGAGCACGACTTTCTTGACCCCCAACTTCTGGCAGGAGGAGAGCACATTCTGGGTCCCATCAACCGCCGGCTTCACCAGTTTGTCTTCCGAGCCACCCTTCATGTAGAAGGGCGAGGCTGTGTGGAGCACTGTTTCACAGCCGCCGATGGCGTCATCAAAGGATCCGGGGCTCAGCAAATCAACTCCTTCGAAGACTTTCAACCTTTCAGACGCCCCTGGCAAATTCATGAGATAAGCGGCCTTCTTGGCAGATCTAGTGGTGGTATGCACGGTGTGACCGTCCTCCAACAGTAGCTTGATGCACCAAGATCCCAAAAAGCCGGACCCCCCGGTCACGCAAATCGGGCTACTCGGCATGACGCGAGAAATCAAGCGTGAGATCATGCAAGATCTGAATCACCACCAAACAGAAGCCAGCAAAACAGAAGCCAGCAAAAGAACCGTGAACAATTGAATCAGCAATCACTTGAGCCCGAACTTCGGTCACCAGCTCGACCCTCCGCCGACCCTCCCAGGCCCAGCCCTGGCAGCAAAACGGCCTCTTCACACGCGGAGACCGCTGAGTGGTACCTGAACCCAACGGCAGCAATCAATGAGGGGTCGGTACCGGACCTGGTTGTACACGACCGGGGGTATATCTCCCCTCTATCAATCAACCAAGCAATCCCATAGGCTCCACTCCATGGGACTGGAATATATGCCGATCAATTGACCCCCCACCACCCCAATGTAGGAATATATGGGATACATGGAGCGTCTGGGAATAGTCAAAAGGACGGAGCCATGAGCTGATTGGTGAGGACGTGAACTCGGTGCCCGACGCAATGAGATCTGGCCAAAGCAAGCCTGGCGCCAAGACATTCCACAGTTCCCCCTCATCCGCGGCCAGTGGTGCAAAACAACACTTTTCACCTGGTTTCACAGTTGATTCATGTCATTTGTCATTTGTTATTCAAATCATCTCAAACCTGTTTGGTCGTTGGATCACGACTGTTCTTTCTTGGGGTAGCCAAGCCTAAAGTCTTCATGGGTTAGTGACCCGGCGCATCCTCCAGCATCGAGTGTAGTTCTCATTTTCAATCTGCGACCCGCAAGGAATGGGCAGGAATGGCCCCCACAAAGCTTCTTTCTCTTGTGAAGGTCAATGCGTTGTCGCGTGAGTGATTGCATCCAAACCAACCAACCAATCAAGGTCAAGGCCTCCCCTCCAAAATAACACAAAAGGCCTTCTCGAATCTGCTGGAAGGCCATCAAGGCCTCTTGCCACCTCAAAGGCTAGCGCTTCCACACGAATTCCATCTGCATTGCTAGGCCCTGTCTACAGAAGCTAAAGAACCAAAGGAAATCAAAAGTCTAGCCAAAGACTTACTGTAATGTCTTTTGGACATGTTCCAAGTCTTACACTGAAAGGGAATCGGTTGCTGCTGGTGCAAATGCTCGGAACCCCATGGAACTCCTTTTCGTCCCCGGGTGCTGCTGTTAGGCCAGCCATGGCCCGGCGCGGTCGAACCCCCAACAAAAATCTCAAGACTTCCTGTCTCGGCTCGATCTGACTCGATGTCCCCGGCAAAGCTGCACAGCCACAAGCACGGATGAGGCTGCCTGAGCCAGCGCAGCTGGTGGCGAAGTCTGCAGCGGATCTTTGATGAGCTTTTGTACTCAGTGATCCCCATGCTGGGCGTCGTGAAGTCCGAATCGCTGCCTGCAGCGGACCTGGGTCCCCAGCTAAAGGTGCTGGCATCTGGGCGAGCGCTCGAGCGCCTGAGACATGGTGGGACATCTATCATAGCCATTTCAAGGTTTCAAGGTGCCATTCTTAGGGTCCATGTTAATTTTTTGGAGTATAACATCTAATATTTCATGAATATACTGGGTTGAGAGGATATCGCAATCCCCAAGTCTGGTGGTTTATATTGGACACCCATTTGTTGTAGACATCTTGGGGTGCCACGTGTTTCCCCCCGTTCTGGGCGCGCCTCATCTCACTCAGAAATTCCAACCTTGGCAGAAACCACCTCACCATCATCATGTCTTTAAAGCAGTAGGAGCGTGTAGGAGTTTCATAGAGGAAAAAGGTATCCACAAAAACCACCCTCCCACTTTCGCAACAGTCTGCATCACACCGACTCACTGCCTATACACTTCTCCCTTCTGATAGAATTCTGTCACTGACCATAGCGGACAAAGAGTTCTTTTCTCAGGCCGACACGTCAGAATCCAATTCTGGCTGCGACCTTGGCTTAACTGAGCATGGCCATGGCAAAGCAGTGTTGCAGTGGTGGCTTTGCTACTTTTTTGATGCACCAGCTTACCAAGAGTATCTTAGCATACCCGGGCCTATCGCGACCTTTCTTGATCCGACCTCCGGCCTTTTGGGGACACCGAGCCTCGAATGATACGGTTGGAAGATCTAACAAACACGTCGTCCTCCCCCAGCTCGGATCGAACTTTGCCCTTGCACCTTTGGCCATTTTTGGACCTTTAGCTTCATCCCCGGGCGCCTGAGTTGAAGCAAATCTTGGACGATCCGAGTCCGCAACACACGGATTTATCGAAATTTGGGATGCTTGGGAAAAAACTTTGTCACACCTCCCTCCATCCCAAGTGACTCAACGCATCAGCGGCGGCATTGTAGGCGATCTGATTGGGAAGCTGTTGACACTGCCTGGGAGAAACACATTGGCAAGGGTTGCTTGAAGTCTGACTCCCAAATCGTTTCCCAGGAAAATAGGTTTACCTGACATACCTAACTTTCCTCCTGTTGGATTTCTGAGTGGTGTCCCCAGTTCAGCTGAAAGCAATTGAAAGCAGGTTATCCATGTTTCTGGGTTAGGACAGTCGCCCACGTGACCAAAGCCACGTGACGTAGTCTTGAGAAGAACATAAAGAACATATATGAATCGCTTGGGGGCCATAGGGAGCACGGCCAAGTCAAGTTCTTTTGGATCTGCCCATGAGCTAGCCTCCAAACCGGCTGAGTCATGGCTAGCCGGCTGAGGAAAAATCCGAGTTGGTAGCTATTCAGCGAACATGAGTGAACTAAAACTAAATGGGCCGTTGGCATTGATGCACATTGTGGGCTGGTTCGGCTGCTTGGGGATGGCCTCTCTGAGACGCCATGCAGGGGCGCCAAATTGATCATAGCGTGCGTCCGTGCCTCAACATCCTTTGCTACTAGCGTCCTTGCTCCTAGTAGTAATGCCCTTGGCTACGAACGTAGCTTCTTGTTACGTCCGTAGCGATGCCAGGAGCTACGTTCGTAGCGTCACCATGTTCTGTCGCATTCTGTCGTATATGGTCCCATCTCCTTCTACACATCGCGCCTTCTGCGACGTCGGCCCATTTGGGTCACGAACATTTAGAGACAAATCTCCGACCACATCGGACACTTCCCAGCGCCCTTTGTCCAGTGACCTTTTTCGCAATGTTCTTTTTGATCGCGTTTTTGACCGAAGAAGCCAGATCAAGTTTGGTCGCTGGGAACGTCACGGTAGAGACGCTTCACCCCCTGGACTTGGCCCCCCCGCAGTTCGCGGAAGAGCCCCAAGGACAGCTGCCACTGACTCCCTTGAGCACCTGAGTCTGAGTCTCATCGGAAGCGAGGAAGCGTTGATGGGATCGCCAGGAGTATGCATTTGCATCTTGAGATCCAGGACACGGTCACTAGGACCAGGATGTTGAACACACGAAAATGGATCACATGTTGGGGGAGTTGTCCTTCCAAGTGAACAAACGTTTGGATTTTTAAAAGACAGCTCTTATATATTGGGCCAAGGGGCTTCCAAACAGAATGCACACGCTACCGGACACGCACAGCAAGTCCTGCCAGTCCTGTCCAAGTATCCTCACAGCATATCAAAGCAGATTTGTTCCTTGCTCTTCTCCAGTGTCAGAGAAAAATCTGCAAGCAGCTCTGTTTGTCATCTATTGTACTTCCGTCCCGTATGCATTTTGGGTGTCCTCCCTGTGCGGGACACCAGCTCGGCTTCGGGCCCGCACTGATGCCCGTGCTGAACATAATGAGGTCAAACTGCAAACCTGGACAGCAACCAGGATGAGGACGGATGGTGGTCCGACTGACTGCACATGCATCTATACGATACAATATATGTGCTTTATATTGTTTTATTATGTATAATTAACATACATACAATATGTATCCGTAAATATGCAAACGTACATCAATGCATATAAACAATCTATATTATATCAATATTTACACATATACAGTAGATCATATAGTCACTATATCACTATACCTACTCTCTCTGCGTATATACGTGTAAGAATAAATAGATATATATAAATCTCGCTATATACACATATATATATATGAATATATAAACATATACATGGAGGCAGCCTGCAGTAGGAGGAAAATGGGAACATGATGCACCTCCAAAATCAGCAGTTGAAGAAAAACATGTTGATTGATTCTCGCTGCATTCTATCCTGTCCTCCACCCTGGAATGAATATTGGCACGCCAAAGAAATTCTACTAAGTACTGTCCCCCTGCCCACAAATGTTCAGTGGCAGGCCCACGCTCCCTGTAAAATCGAAAGGCTGAAACGGAGACCCAAAATGAACCTGTCACGAATGGTTAATAGGTTCAAACGTTTTTGGGTGCCAATTCACCAGAGCTGCACAGCCAGCGCCTCTTCGCGCCGCAAGCCACGGCCAGGCAAACACACCCTGTTGACCGACGTCACCCCGCTCCCATCGGTCGCACCTGCGGAACGTGTTGTGGCCAGGAGGTCTAGAGCCAACTCCTCCGATGGGTTCAGTGCGGACAGCACCGAAGTGATGGTGCGAACGCTGCGCGAACGCCAACAGCGTTCCAAACGCCCGACGTGCACGTCGGGCATCGTTGGACTTGGACGATCCAAGGAACTGGAAGAAGGGTTCATGTGCATTTCGTCCGGATCCTGTTTGATTCACCATCGTAACACAAACCCTTAGTCCCTTAGTCTTAGTTACATGTGGCAGTGCCCAACATTGGCAACAAGTGAGAATCTACATCACAACAATATCGTCTCCCTTCTTTTTCTTCGCGACGAAGCCTACCTCAGATGGAGGTCATCTACCCCCTGCCCTGGATTAGTTAATTTTATGAATCCAGGGTGCCTCAACTATGTATTTAATCCCGAGCTGAAAAACACTGAAATGGTGCCCAAAGCTGGGGAAACCCGCACAGGAGACCAGATCGACAGGTGTGGACGACCGACAGGCTTGGACAAACTCCAAGCGACCAGCGCAATGGAAGAACATGGGTTTGCATATTGAGTTCAGTTCCGGCCCCGAAAAGTGAACACGAAAAGTGAGCACCTCTACCTCTACCTCTACCCATTCACCACATCTTTTGCCTCTCGCAGTCTCTTGGTCTGAGAGAGAGAGAGAGAGTCATGTTCCGCTGGGGCACTGGCCCACTGGCTGCCACGTGCACATGCGCTCATGGCCTCAGAGCAACTTCCACGGTGAAACCCGCGGTGAAAACCGCGGTTTTGAGACAATTCATCTGGTCAAACTCCCAGCAACTGACAGCCGGGTGGGGAAAAAATGGTGAACAAAACATTGAAAAACACAAATTACATGCAAACACATATCCATGAGCTTGAATAGCCTTTCAATACCTGCAAGGTGCCTAGGAGGGTTTTGCTGGCACCTGACCTTGGTCGCATGATCTCGACTCCGATGTGATTCAAAACTCCAAAGTGACCACCGACCCGATCCAAAGATATCCAAAGCCTGTTGGGGGAGAAGAAACTGGTCAACACATGTCAACAATGCAATGGGTCAAAGATGATCAAAAACCCTGGGTCCATTAGCAGCATTCAAGGTCTTTAGCATTCTGAGTAGCAGCTTCAAGGTCTTGTGAAAGGCAAAAAACATGCATCTTTGGTGAACGCTCTCCAGTTCATGGCAGCGAAACTTCTCACACCTGCCAAGGGCCGCACAGCACTGCAGCACACTAAAGAAGTTTCCTGATCTTCCAGGCGCCTCAAGTATGTTCTGCAAAACCTCCAAGCAGCATAGATCTGCAAAACCTCCAACTACAAAATGGACTATACGGCTTTATATATGTATGTATATATATACATAGAACACAAAAAATATCGAGGCACAAAATGGATCAAAACGTCTCGCAAGCTTCTTTTGAATGTTATTTTTCTTCTCACGCGTGACGCACACCCCAACGGCACAGGGTGGGTTTCCATGTCTACTGAGGCCTCCACTCTAGCAGATCTATGGCCACTTGCCACTGGGAGCCCTGTGAAATCGCACGACGTTTGTTGCGCAGCACAGACTGTGGTAGCATAGCATTGAACCAAATCACATGCAGAAAATTGATGGATTCACCTGAGAGAGCGCCTGTGTCATACATCAACCCTTGGCTCGAGATCGTTTTCGGTAAGACCGGCAGAAACCTCAGAACTAAAAGTCTATGCTGCCGCGCAAGGCTCTGACCCAAACCTGAAACTGAATCGTCAACAATCCGCCTTGTCGCAGGCAGAGATAGCAGCACTGTACCTGCCCATGTCTCCATGTCTCCGCCAACTCCTCACATCCCAAAAATGCCACATGTCATAGACTCTAGACCACTTGATGTCACTTGAAAATACCGCACATCTGCCAGGTTTGCACATGCGTCACACGCAGGACATCGGTTCCGACCCATGCAATTTCCTCCATCGGCATCGAGGCACACGATGAGGTTGGACTCCAAGCTTTGGGAGTCCAGCTCGCGCAGCATCTCCAGGCAGTCTTCCTAAGGGATGTAGACTCTTAGTGAATAAGTCTCCCAATTTGGATGGTAACACCTATTCAGCCTCTTCATTTGGGGGGTGAAATTAATATAAAAGGTTAAACAATTAATGATGAATGACATGGGTCGGGGTTCAGGAACATGCCAAGCCTCACTCCAGATCCACAAGGTGACAAGAGTATACAAGAGTACTGATCATGGTGCTCTTGGTGTTGGAAAAACGGTTTACATATACTGAAGTAGACCAACTCATAGGGTCAAGAAGTACCCATTTTTGGAGCCAAACCAAAGTAGAAAAGACTCATCCTTAAGTAGGAGTCTAACCCCTTCTCCAAGCCCCTGAAAAAAGGGGAGAACGTGTAGGGCCTCTAAGACTCTAGGGTTCCCATCGGTCTTGGACCTTGAAAAACTTGATCTGTTTCAGAACCGTTCAGAACCAACGCGCCAAGCGATTGAATATATCACTTTATCGGATCTATTGCGCGCACACACACACATGTATATATATATATATGTATATATACAATATATACAGCAGTTATTTATTAACATAATGTATATATAAATCTATATATATATATATGTTTATGATATTTTGATTATCCTGCATTGTGCTTCCCACGTTACACTCAGCAAGAATCGGTCTACCGCTTGCCGCGCTGCAAGCGCTTCAACCTCGGCCCCGGTCCATCGCCGGCGAGCGATGTCCACGCTGGGCGTCCGGCCCAGCGTGCGACACGGCCCAGGGACGACGTCAGAGCGCCATACCTCGGCCGTGACTTCTCCACACAGCTGGAGACTGGAGACGAGTGGAACATGGGTCCTCTGCGATCTAAGAAGGAACCAACCAAAAAATACCAAAAAAGAAAAGGGTTCAACCGAATGGTCCAACATTGGAGGAGTCCTGTAAATCGGACCTACCGGTCTGTAGCCGCTCTGGTTGGGTACCTCCGTGTGACGACCTTGGAGGCTGGACTCCAGAGTCCCATTGGTCGATTCGTGCCCGAATTGATGTTTGGACCATATGGAAACATGAGAGTTCCCAGCTGAAGTTCGTTGGATTTCATAGTGCACATGGATTTGGTCTTGTTGGTCGTTTCAGCCCACCCTCAAGATCTTTAGATGTCTTTGGGAACCCATCATCCCAAAGCAAGATTGAACCATGTCGAGCCCCATCGGCAGTTCTCCAAGCTTTCCACCACTTGGATGAAAAATGATGAGAAGATGTCCAAACAAAAGAAACACCGTCACCAATCAACATGGTCCTCAGCACTTGGGGCATTCACCATGATGCACCCCACCAATTCCACCAATCATCAATAGAAAGTCTCTGCTCACAATCTGAGTCTTGAAGCTTGGAAAAGAAATCCCCTACACCTCTTAAACTTTAAACAAGGCTAGTATATGCCAATATATGCCAATATGTAGGTCGACCCAGGTTTCGACCCAAGGATCAAAAACCCCCCCAACCAAAAGAGAGATCAACCCCTACCCCGCGTCCGTCCGACCCGTTTCTCCGGTCCGGCAGAACGCGTCGCCCGGGCGCTCCGACGTGGCGATGTCCGGTGAGGGGCCCAAATGGCACATGCCATCCTCGATGGTGAACGGGGGGGTGGAGGCGGATGGGATATGTGGATGGGACATGTGGTAGAATTGATGCGGCATGAGAGGTTCTGAACACAAGACCCTTGATCGGGCCATATCTGGCCCATTGAGAGCAATTTAGAGCAAATATAGGATCAAATGCACATGAATAGCACCCACACACACACACATATATATATATAAACACGTGCTATTTACATATTCCAGCGCAAAGACTGCAAATACCGACAAATTCGCAAAAAAACAGTAAATAGCACCACCTCTCAAAGCCACAGCTCGGACGATTCAATTGAACAAGCTTCTCGGGTCACACCCCTTGTCGTTCAACCCAACTTGGCCTTGCTGAAAAAATGTCGCTTGTTAAATTGTTAAAGCATTCAACGGAACCAATTTCACGCCGCGTTTGTCGTATTCATATACTTTCACACACAATGTCATGTGAATGTTGCTCGCTTTGATGTTCAACTGGGCAGGGACGATGCATGTTCATGCCTGCCACAGGGTGCACCATAGTGCACCCAGTCTGCTCCAATGCACCCTTCCCAGTCGACGATGTTCCATTTACATTCTTCAGCACCAAGTATGTGAATTGAATAGTATATACATGATTGGATTGTTGGGGTGTGTATATATATACTGTAGGCGTTTAGTAATGTTACAAAAGCACAGGCACAGAACAAACTGACCAGTTGCGAAGCCACCAGGGCTGACCCATTGTTGCTTGAAATGCAGCCAGCCCCAAGAGAGTCTTTATTCTGTACATCGTTTCACTTAATTTCCAATACTGTAGGCGCTTACTGATTACTTTCGCTTTTGGCTAGAAAAAATGTCCAGCAAAATGCAAAGTAGATGGCGCAATGTTTCAAGATCTCATGAGTCAACCATCCATAACCGCGATTTTTGGCAGCGGTCTGAATTTGACTTTTGGGTAGGGTTGGCGCTGTCCGCGTGATTGGAGTTGCGCCATGTCTTTGTCCCGGTGTATATACATATTCAGTGTATAGAATCTATCATTTACTTCTTGTTCTCCTTCTACTCGCGCCACAGCTGGGTGCTCTGTATCCTTCATCTATACTTGTCCCCGAAAACCTCCCACGGGAAGCCACCGAAAGTAGCCGCCGAACAGGCAAACCACAAGCACACAGGGACATGGCATGGATGGTCCTGGTAAAGACATCACCACAAGGTGTTCTCTGTTGTGTAATGTTTTTTCCTCACGTGAGAAACATCATTACCCAATCGAGGTACTAGTTTTGCTGCTCCGCAGCTTTTCGCTTCTCAGTTGTCCAAGTAGGTGCCGCTGGACCAGTCTGGTAACTCCTCCAGTCTGGAGAGAATGGAGAACACCCAGTCTCTGACAAAGCCTCTGGGAATTCAGCGCCCTGGGCTGACTCCCTACTTATCATGCATGATTCAGCCGACACATTTCGTCTCACTCTGCCCGCAGACTCTCGAATCTCAAACACCCCCAACCACTGAAACACCAAGTAAAGTGTGCGAATTCGAAGACTTCACCCATCTTGAAACAATAAATCTCACTAAACAAGCACAACTTGCTCCTTCCCCAAACGCATCATGGGGCTGCAATAGATGCCTAGATCGACTCCGAACAACCCTATAGGTAAATGTTTGGGGGTTGATTTGTATGATTTCTCACCTGGGGCCTGGGACATTGAAAAAAACAATGCATTAGTGTTAGGGTGTATGCCAATACTAAACTGCTGAGCGCAGGGTTATTTCAATCTCTCACCTGTCTCTTCTTCTATCTCATGGTTTCTGTCACTTTGCTCCCAGTGTTCTCACGACGCGCACACACTCAATGTTTCCCCTTTCCAGCGATCTAGGCTACCGAGCAAAAACCTGAAGCTGCTGCTTCAAGTTGTTGCAGGCCTCGGCTGGGTATGCCATTGTGCGTCGCAAACGAAAACTCCCACTTAGGTGGTAGACGGTGGCTGCACATGATAATGCAAGTAAAGAAACACATACAACACCTTCTCTACCAACTATGACTATTTCAAACATTTCAAACTATATATCATCCAAGTTGGGCACTGTACACTTTCGGTTCGGAGGGCCGTGCGTACTGAGGAGACGTGGACCGTTCGCCACGAGCGTACTTGAGACTGCGCCCTCATGCTGTGGTCTGGAGACGTGGAACAGCCTTCTTAGGCATTGGACCAGCGGCTCGAAGATGCTCGATGGTCCAAGCATCGTTGAATCTACAGAGACGGAGCCTGTAGATGAACCAGCTAAGCTAGGCCAGGACAGCCCGGCCGCCTTCCTGTTTTGACCCACAGGCATATCTCTATGCTATAATATATATATATATATACACTGTATATATATATAATCGATGCATCTTCACATCTCAACGGGTCTCAACCGGCTTTGAGGTCGCCATGCTTGCGTCATCTTTCGTGGTCCGTCACTTACCCTCCCAACACGCATGAAATTCACATAGATGTGGACACCCGCCCTGACTATGCCATCCACTTCGATTGATGGAGAGGGTATGGAGGGTGTAATGGAGGGTGTATACCTGGATTGATCCAGCCCTTTGGCTGCTTGTTACGGATGAAAAGGCATCCATAGCTGGAAGATGCAGGTTATGTACCATCACTCACCACTGACCCCACGTCTCGCATCTGGTCGTGGACCTTGATCGCACTGTTGCAGCAAAACGCATCTGGTGGTGGACCATCCTGCGGTCGCCAAAGCTTGCAGAAACCAAGACCAAAGCATGATTCCAGTCACCTTCTGCCAACACCTTGTTTCACAAGCCGCGAAGCAGGAACTCTGTCCATGGTTTAATCACACATCAATCCCATCAACTTCCAGGCCAGTTTTGCACTAACCTAAAGGGCTAGTGGGCTCAGCTCTGCATGGTGTGACAGTCTTTTGAACAAATGTTACACCGACAACTACTTCATAGTGATATAACTTCATTGTTTAGTTACGTACGTTAATTATCTATCAATGACATCTCACTCTTGTCGTTGCGTCACAAGTATCACCAGCACAGGTTCCAAGTTGTTGTCAGGTTTCACACAGGCATTTTGGCCCTCACCTCTCGCATCTTCTGCAAGATCCCCAAAGCTTTGTCCCACCTTAGGTGCAGGAAAACAAAACACACACAAAAAAAACTCTTTGGAACACACGCAACTTTGAGAACCGCAAGGGTCGCACTTTGGTTCCTGGATGTTTCTTCTTCACGAGCCAAAACACACACACACACACACCCCGCCGCTCTGGGACCGCCCGACGCTCGTGCCCGGCCACATGCAGCGATCGCCTGGGGTGAAGGCACGGAGGGCGACTGGAGAGGTGACCGAGGTGACTGGAGAGGTGCCAAAGCCTTCTATCGATGTCTGGATGTCACCCGCCTCGATGTCGACTGGAATGGAGCACACGGCGATCGATGTCGATGGATGTCCTCATAGGACCTCTATACTTGTTGCCCTCTGTTCTTGGACGCTGCGGTTTGCCCTGTTCTCAAATACCTTGGCGAGGGATATTATGCCAATATGCCTCACCTGCATTTCACTCAAGTGTATTCAATTTGCCTTGGATCACGCAGGGTAAATATAAAACATGTATGGCTTAACGAACGCCTTGCATCAGGTTGCTCGGGCACATCTTTCATAACTTATCTTGCCTTTAGGTCAGTGGGATGAGAATGTCATTCCTGAAAACGATACCGGAGTTGGTTATGGAAGGAATGAATGATAAAAACATATAAAAACGGCCTTGCCTGTGCAATGGTCATGCAGGAGTTACAAAATGCTGATGCATGCTTCCTCCATCCCCGGCAAACTTGGAACATAAAACCTACTCCAACTTGATTTGCAAGTGAACCTCCAAGTTATGTGTCGTTCTATGTTCCTTTGTAATTCAGAAGTGGACCACCACGTTGTAATCGTTTCGCAATCTCAACGAGGGGCACTGGCGTTTGAATCAACCACTTGAATAAGGAGCCGAGGAGTACCACGAGCCTCGGATCAACACGAACATGTCAAACCATCATGCAGACTGTTGATGAATAAAGCATCATAAAACAGCCCAAAAATTGGAGATGCAAGAGATGTGTATTAAAACATTTCCTGTCGGGCTTTACGAATCACTCACCAGCCTACATGATGTTGGCTGGTCGACCGGGAAGGTACCTTGGTCGACCTTTGAGGCTTTCCACTTCCCCGTGAGGAGGACCGCAGCAGTGTCCGACCGGTGTCCGACCGCTGCAGGGTTCCCCGACCGCTGTGCATTGCCGGAGGGAAGGCTGTGCAAGCCCTTCTCTCGCACCACCTGTCAGCTTCGCTCCCCATGTCGAAACCCAAGGAGTTGCTTCTGCCTTTGACTTGGACTATCTTGGACGACTTAACCAACAGGAAGAAGCATGGGACGTCCCGGATCCTACATTCCGTGATCCTAGAGGAAGCCCTCAGCTCAAAAGGTAGGAGGAACAACTTCCCTCAGCTCCTTGATTCTGTTGGCTTGCTGACTGACTCTAAGGGTGTCGTACATGTGTTACAGATTGACAAGGTTGCAGCTATACTTGAGAACGACAATGAATTTGACCCGACACACACACATATAACTTAACTAAACATTGTCCAATGTGCAGGTTCCATCAGGTTCCGCTTGTTATTCTTTACTTAAGGGAGCCTGGTGCAGCCTGGGCTTTCAACATTTCAAGATAACCTCATCCAACATTTGAGTTGCAAAACAACCAAAACAGTGCGAAACCTTCCTCAATCGCCAGACCGGCAAGCATCCGAATGCGAACGGTAAAATCTAAAGAACTCATTGAGGATGTTGTCATTCCAAAAGCTCTGGCAACTTTGAGTGAGATATGTTGGGCTGTTCAAAACGGTGGTTTCACCTTTAACCTTCATGACCGTGAACTTCAAAGCAATCGCAAGTCGTCACTGCAACATGTCACTGCAAGTCGATCTGACTTTCCGAGCCATGCCGGGTGCGGTAAAAGGCCATAGAGCCAGGCCCTACCGAGATCTGGTCTACCACAGCTTCGGCTCACACCCAATGTAGAGAAGGCCAGTAAAAAAATGAACCATAAAGACTTGGACCTCATGAGTTTCTACAGCTTTGTGGTGCAAACATAGGAACTATATGGAACTATTAGGAACTAATGACAACCGATGGTCTCGGGCTTCCGCTTGACCTACGTTCGATGTGCATCTTCCGTCTCAGGGCCACGCCTGGCGCCAGTCGTTGCCTCGGTTCGATGGCGGTCACCAGCGGTGGTCTCACCGGTCACCAGTGTCTGACACCATGGGAGGCCATGTCTGACACCGGATGAAGTTGTCCATGTCTGTGGTAGATGTCGAGGTTCATTCCTCCTCCATTCAGTCGAAGTCTTAGCGTCCAGCCATGCAACAGGAGTCCTCTCTGTTTCATGCAGCTGACGAGGGGCAAAGAGCCTATTTTAAGATTGGATGAATCCACGGAAGAATTTCATGACGAACAAACAAACACAATTGTGCGCTTTCCAACTGACAATGCAGAAAACCTGAGCTACGGACCTTTCGCCTGGGCTGTCGGACCCCGATGGCCCCGATGCCAGCGGAGCATAGCCAGGTCCTGGAGTACAGTCCTTATGTGATCTTTGTCATTTACTGTATAACTTCTAGTGCACCTTGACTTTGAACTGATTGTTGATGTTCTTGTTCACATATATAGTTATCTATCTATCTTAATATGTCTTTCTCTCACATGTTTGAACCAAGCCTCTAGCTACATGACCAACCATTGGGCCCAAGAGGCCTCAAGAGGGACCAAGAGGCCGGCCTCAAGCAGTCTAGAAGTCTTCAAGTACCTAACATGGTTACCGTGGCCGTTGCCTGGTTCTGAATTGGAGATTTGATGGACTTCATTCAACCCAGGGCAGGACAGCCCGCCCCTGCATCACACGGGTTACATGACCGTCCGACTGCTGGGTCCCGGCACGTTCCAACTGCGAGAGCCCTTGCCTCTCAAATCCTACGCAGTGGCACGAGCCACAGGAAGCCTAGCGAGTAAGTTGGATTTCCACTGTACTCACTTCTTGGTTCGTGCAGCACAGCCCAAAGACCTTGGGTGGACAAGTGGCAAAAACTTTTGATGGATATGGTTCACCAGATTTCCAGCAGCACTCTTCCTGGTCAGTTCAGTTTGGCGCAGCGGTTCCATGTTGGGTTCGGTGGAACATGTACTGATCGAGTCACCCTTTGGGGGGTGACCTTCCCGGCGATCCGGTGGAGACACGACGCCACACACGTCTCCTCGGGCACCTCCGCCCCTCGGTCGCATGCCACTCCGGTGAGGACTCGCCTGGGGGGGTGATGCTGCACGATTTGATCGAAGGAGTCTTTGTCATTCCCAAACACGACACATGGGACTGCCATATATGCCGATTAATTGACCCCCAAAACCACCCCAACTGATCGGCATATATGGCAGTCCCATGGAGTGTTTGGGATTGTTGGTTTGTTTTGGTTGATAAATGGTACTTCGATTCGTCTGTGGGATGTTCTTGATAATCCTCGGTGCTTTTCATCTAGAACACATCCATGGAGCAAGATGGATCCTGGTTTTGCTCTTCCCTCTCCAGCACCGTTATATAATATATCTTCCTTGCAAACATATAGAAGAACCTTGAAAGCTGTCTTGCAAACGTCAGTGTGAACCAATCCTGCACCTATCTCAGCGCCTCAGCATGATCTCCCAAGCCCGCATCCAATCCATTGCATTGCAGCCAGTTGCTTTTTGCTTGAGAACATACAGTTGTTGGCAGCCAGGCTGGTCGTACGCCAGCTGCAAAGCAAACTGAGCAAATTGGACGTTAATTGGACGATGCATCGTTGGATTGTACAATGTTTTCCATGACCATGACCTCTTTAGAATTTACACCATGCAATGCACTCAGGACACTTACATCCCCCGAGCCGTATTCTTGCCGACCAGTCTTTCGAAGTGGTGTTTCTGTTCCGGGCCGGAAACAGTCGAATCTGGATCGTAGTTCGGACGTATAGCTGTTGGAACGAATTAATGCGAAGTAATATAGTGTTGTTGTTGGTGGTAGTAGTAGTAGCAGTTGTTGTTGTTGTTGTTGTTGCTGGTGTTGTTATTGTCGTCGTGGCTGTTGTTTCTGCATACTTGTGTTGTTGTTGTTGTTGTTGTGGTTGTGGTTGTTGTTGTTGCTGTTGCATCGTTGTCCCCATAGGTATTGGTGCGCACCACCGGGCACCTCGACAGGTCAGTGAACACTTCGACAGGTCAGTCGACAAGTCTGCGAGCCCACATGACTGGGGCCAGAGGCCTTTGAGTATGGACAACATCAGTTACCTTGGGCGATGCATCAGTTGGGGCCAGAGGCCAGACTGCTGGGGCCCCATCAGTTACCTTGGGCGATGCCCCAGTAGGCCTTTAACCTTGGGCGATGCTCATGCGACGGCAAAGCCGGCCCGACTCGTTGGCTGTGGGCTTCTCCGTTGGTGCAATCCGTGGCTTCGTCGAAGTCCCCAAGCTCGGTGGGCACCGGTGAGGGGTGGGCACGTGACGAGACTCTATGCTACTGAAAATGGCGACTAGGGCGAGTCGGGCTTGGTAGCCCCACAAGAGCTTCAAAGAGAGAACCAAACTCCTTCATTTTATATATAGATGGATGGTATATGGGATTGGCATCATCATATTGATATGATTCATATTTCTATTACATGTCTGTTGCAACGTAGCAGGAACCATCACTTACATGTTCAAAGGACATGCTAGCCACCACCTCTGACGTGTTTCCCCCACTTTCTCGTTCATGCAGGGGGGAATTGTGAACCTTCCGAGCGGATGACCAACTTGACCCGAAAGGACGACCTGTGAGGCTTGGATCCACGACTTGACCACCAAGCATGTTTGTTTCGTATTGTTGAGAATAGGAAGGCACCACATTGTAGATGTACAACCATTCTGGATCCATCTGGTTTTAATCAACCTCGTCATGGATCCAAAGAAACCGGAAAACCATTGCCGGAGGGCTGTTCCGACCAAGGTCCTTCAGGTGTGCGCCACCTGCAGTACCAGCAAAGACCCTGCCAGTTCCAAGCATAGAATACACAATTCCTACAGGTCGAAGACCTCATTCTACTAGATCAGGTTTTACTGCATCTTTGGACCTATAAGGGATATTATGAAATAGTACGATGCAAAATTATGTCAAGTATATTATAAAATGTATATATAACAAATAGCAATAATAGCCCATACAATATCCTACAATATGACCCATTGGAAACTTTTGACAAACACAGGAACAACTGAACAACTGAACTCTGACAAACCAAGACTGCAAGAACATGGATGGACCAATCACTCATCAACCTAGCCTGCCTGCCGCTGCCCTCAAGCCCCTTGACCGGCCATGCTGAGAAGCAATGGTCCCTCAGCATGGCCGAGCAAAGACGCGCTTTTGTCCACGCAGCGAGGTCACCCGGCGAGCGCCCTGGCGGTGCGTACCGAACGGCTCGGGTGTTTTTTTTTTCTCCCTCCCCAGGCGAACCGCACTGGTGAACCGCAGGGCGGTAAATGGCCATGGCCACGTGAGTATACTCTTGCTTTAAGCTTTAGTAAAATTGATTCCCCACAAACCAACTCCAAACACGTTTTTTTCTTGAAAAAAACCGTGCAAAGGTAGTGTTCAACCCTCTCATCTGGGCAAAGGAGGATAAGGCCATGAATATGATAACTCCCCTGAAAAATGGTCCTGACTCCTTCAGTTCCCCTGGGAAACAACGGTTAATGTTTTTTGCACCTGTTCTTGCTTAAAGGTTATCCACTTTTCCTGGGTAGGTCTCTTTGTTGCTTCGCTGCGGCTCCTTGTGAAGCCAACCCTCCTGGATCGGCATGGGTGGCACCTCCTCCTCCAAGTGGGTCAGCAGCCGTGGCAGATCCGCCACCTGCCGGTGCCGCAGCAAGCGCCCCAGCACCGCAGCCAGGGCCACTTCCTCGGGCCTTCCGGAGCGTTTCAGGACATGTCAAAGGGATGCATCTTCGGCAGGGGTGGCAAAAAGAAGGCGAAAGGCCTTGAAGCCCCCGCCGGTTCTTGTTTTCCTGCTGCCAAGGCATGAAGGAACACCATCACCAATTCGCAGAAAGGTGAAAGTACATGATACAAAGAACGGTTCCCGAGGAGAGTGCCCGTTTGGCGGGCACCGCTTGGTTACAATGAAAAGAATGGAAAGCACCTACAGTAATCCCAAAATCAAGAAGCAGGGGGCGACTTCAGGCACCGATGGTGAGGAACCCAAGGACATAACGAGTAATTAATAGGCGACGACTGCCATAAAGGCTAGACCAGTCTGCTTCGAGCTTCGATAAATAGCTGGTTTGTTGGTTCGCAGCGTGAATGAAAGGAGTATTGTGGGTCTTAGTCCAGCGGTCCAGCGAAGTGTCCGTCCAATGTTTCCTGGGGCGACCTGGACGGAAGAAACCAACGGCTGATATGGAAAAGCACGGATCCTCTCTACGAAACGTAACCTGTCTCATCGGATCATCGGCCCTCAAAATGTGACGAGTAAGTGCAATTCTCTTATCATGTAAACTTCGCGCTGCTGACCAGCGTCCTGCAGCAACAGCAGCATTGGCTCTTCTGTAGATTTCCGCGTTAGAGTTTCTTGTGTCTAAGTGGGGAGCTGTATGCAGGATCTTGCGGAGACCACGTAATTGCACCGCTTCAAGCTTTGACAGCAAAGCGTTAGTAAGCTCAACTGTTTCCAGCCACTTGATCATGCTATTTGTAAACGAGCATTTTCCAGCGAACAGGACCATTGGCATCCTTAAAGGAACAACCACACATGCATACGTGGCCGCCATCGTGGCCATCGTGGCCGCCATCCGATGTTCCATTTCGCCTGAGGTGACTGGCCAGCATTTGCTCCAGGAGCTGCAAGCCGATGGCCTTGGAGGGACGCGAACTGGATGGCCGCCATGCGTCCCATCTCCAGAAGATCTCTGGCTTGACTCCAGCCCACAGAAAAAAAGAAGCACCTGGACCCTCCAACAATCATGGAAGTGGCGAAAAAGAGATAGATACATGATATATCTACTAAATAGAATTATATAAATACACATGCATCACATGCACATATATAACACATATATAACAGATATTATACCGGCAAGGTTCCTCTAGGATGCTAGGATGTTCTCCACTCCATTCTCAGCAGAATCCGCCGCTGCACTCCAAGGGGCCCATTCCCTGGAGCCCTCCAAGGACGTCATCCTGGCCGTCCGTCCGGATGGAATGACGAACATGCAGGTTGAGGGGCGGATGGAGTCTAGACTTCTAGTTGCTGCCAGCACTTTTGACCAATCATACAGTATACTGATGTATACTGATGTAGACTCTATACTGAATCCAGAGCCAACTTAACCATCTGGCCTCTATTCGTGTTATTCTTGCCATTTCGAGTGACTTCGGCCCGAGACAAGAACTGGTGGCCCGAGGCACAGGGCATTGTAGGCCACACTGTCCACCTCCATCTCTTGCAGCAGCATGTCCTCTAGCCTGGGACGTTGCGGCGCGCCGCTCGCGCGTTGAGAGGACTGGGAGCGCATGGTCCACCCCCCACCTCGGTAGGCTCAACAGTGGACAGCACAGGTCCATGGTTTTTTCAGTGGAAAAAACCACCGGGTCCACCACCACCTTGCTGCACTCCGTCACCAAACAGACCGTTCTAAGAACCTTAAGATTGACAGACGGTTGGAGGCATGGCAGCCAGGCAACGTCCATCATCTAATCACTGTCTCCTCTCAGGAGTTTGAAGAAAAGTATCCTCGTCCTCTGGTAGCTCATCAGTCAATCAAGGTCAATTTCTGATATTTCACACTCCTTCGAACTCATTGCTTCACTGGGCGCAACGCACGGATGGCTCGGGATCCCGGCACCACGACAGCTGCCCTCCAGGCTGCGGTCGCTCCGCCTCCATTGGAAGAAGGGTGGATCCAAATGGAGCATATTGGACATGTGGGTTCCCGCCACGAGTAGTGGCATCCGTCAAACCAAGGCCAAAGAGCGAAGGCCGACATTAAACGTTCAACGCTGGAGTTCAGCGAATGCTGCCGTGCAATTGGCGTTGCCTGCCGCGTGGGGGATGAAGGTTCGGTCGTCTGTCGAGTGACATCCCAAGTCTGTCGGGACACTTTTCACTTGGAACCAATCATAAAGGATCGGCTGCATGCATCATGCTTCCTAGACCCTGGAGAGAAAAGAATGGTCTCTTTATAGGGGTCAACATATGGTCTTTGCATCTCTACTGGTTTCTGATCATTGAGCTAAAAACCTCTTGAGGTCTATGGCTTGAGTCTTTGGAACTCTTGACCTCTAGGAGCACCTGGATGTTGTTGGGAACCCCATCAGCATTCAATCAGCTCAGTTTGTCCATGTTTGTGCATGGAGTTTGCCTTCCAAATGCCCAAACAGGGCTGTGATTGCGTGCTATTGGACAAAGGTTGACATCGCGGTCTGGGCACTGGGCACTGGGCATAGAATATCCGCACTAAGCAATGAAAACGTTGCCTGGGCCCGTGTTCTTCCACGCCGTCTGATTTGATGAGCTTGGGTTATCATGAGTTTCCCCATGGGACGTTCCCCATCGTTCTACGATCGACCAGCAAAATGGCTCCGGCTGAGCTACCGGGCATGCGCTAATAGCAGCACAGTAGCCCACATAATCTGATGGCAAAAGCCTTGGGTCAAAGCACCGCGAAGCAAAACACATCAACGAAACAAATAGGTTTCACATGGATTCACCAATACGACGCTCCATGTATATGGAATATATGCCTACATTGGGGTGGTGGTTGGGGGGTCTACACATATGGCAGTCCCAGACAGGTCGTCTGGGATATCATCCGCGAATGCTCTCGCATGGTCCCAGGTGCTGTCCCACTTGGCCCAGAATGCGACCCGTCGCACGGCTCCCGTGGCTTCAACGTTGTTTCGTGATGAAGCGAAAGGCCGAAAAAGGAGGCCAGAAACCGAGTGATGCAATTGAACAATCTGTAGTTTGGTGGAAATTCAAACTCTGCAAGGCTTTCCTCCTCCTCCTCCTCAACTTGGAATCCGGGTTGTTCACTGTCCAGCATGCCGCCCCGCGTGGTGTGTCAACCAAATCGCCTTTGAATTTGTTGTCACACGATCGGAGTGGGTGTGTTTTCGAAAAAGGAGATCTCTCTGAAGACCCCCCAAACTTCGGGTTCTAGTACTGGTTTCTAGTCAAGTCTATTCTTTCCTCATTGGAGGGTTTTCCACCTCCTCCCAGTTCGTGCCAGTTCGTGGAGGATTTGCTTTTTCGTTTCACGTCCGTCGGGGGGGCCTCGTCTGTCGTTGGCCCAGGCCAAAACCAATGCACCCGTCTTGGGCTTGAAAACACGCCATGCTCTTAACCTCCACTACAAAACCCTTTCCAATTTATAGGCCGACTGAGGGTCATTGCAAAGGCCATCCTATATATATATATATAGAGTGCATACCCTATACCCCAATTCTTTGTGCTTCACCTCGTCGGAAACCATGTGCTCGCATCACCGGACTCCGCTTTCCCCTCGCGAGGCTCGGGTCTTCGCTGCCGCAACCCAGTCCCAGTCCACCACTTCTGAGCTCTGGAGGACGGGAGCCCCTGCGAGAGTGCCACATGCCAGCGAGAGCCCTGGACGGGTGGCCACGGCTCTCGAAACCAAATAAGAGGTCAACATGTGCCACTGTGGTCATAGTCCATATAATGGATCACACCAAGCAATCCAGTTCATCAATGTTCATCAAGTAGATGGAACATGGAACACGATTCAACAGGTCGGGCTTCTGGCAAAAGTAGTGAGTGCTTTTGGAGAAACAGCAACTGCGGATTATGTTCTTGGGGTTGATTTGCCCCTGCGAGAGGGACCCCCAACCCGCAAACATATGTGGTGCTTGTTCTTCATCATCCCATAACCAACAGCCACATATGGAGCAATCCATGGACATGAGTAACCACGAGCTTTGAGCCTCCAGTTGAATTATGATGAAATACACCTACATCGGGAAAACCATGAAGCCGGCAGGTGGCCTTGGGCTTATGTTCTAAATGTTGTATACAACCAACGAATCTGATGAGGTTCACTTCACGGGTTCACTTTCGCCAAGGATTCGTGCTCTTTTCGTGGTTCAGCACCGTAGTGCTGTGGATGAATGCTGCTGAAGGCACGGACCGGGAGAGACTAAGGAACGGACAACCGAAGAGACTAGTTTAAGGGGGTCATGTTCGCTGTTGGCATAGGATGTCTTCCATCAACTGCACTAATGGCCACATGCGATACCCCCACCAGGACCCTCGAAAACACATCACAGTAGAGGCCTCCAACTAGACACTACGCTGCTGGACACTACGCAGTCGCTGACGGCTGTTCGTTCACTGCGCTGCCGATGACGCAGCTGTGGATGCAGCATCACTCATTCCCCTGAACTAAAATAACACACAGCAAGCAACAATCCATGACCTTCTCAGGCCTCAGTGACCTTCTAAAACCTCAAGAAGAACGTCTATCACCAGTAAATGCTGAGGGTAGGAGTGCTCCAACTTCAGGAAAACCCTGTCAATCAGCTCGAACAAGCGTCCACTAGCTGTGCCACAACACCTTCTGCTAGGAGTCTTCAACTTCCCTGTCCTTCGCCAAAAAAACAACAACTATATAACCACCTGTGCGAAAGGCCGCCTGGGCACAAGCGCTGATGGCTGCATTGCGGACTGCTGCGTCCACTGGTCCAAAGCCTGAAGAGGTGCGAAACCGTTGCCATAAACATCAAAAACAGGTCCAAAGTCCAAAGGAAACTAAGCCACTACTCAGCCTGGCGGTTTCTTCAGCTTTTCTGCTTGTGATGAATGGCACGCTTTCTCCAATACTCTTGGCACGCTTCTTGAGCCATCTTTTACATCATCTGTGCAAAGCCAACAAACCGATCATGCCCGTGAACAGTACTTAAGGTCATCCAACACGGCTTATATAATTGCGTGCGTGTTCCCCACTTGGCGCACTTCTATGCACTAGGGCACAACTGGCATCACAAAAAGCAGCATCGATAGTGCGGACTCTTGGACCCTCCCAAACACAATCACAGAAATCAAATCCGTATCTTTATTATATGTATATGTGTATATATATATAAATATGAGCGGCGATCTAAACCTCTTACATGTGGTAGTGGACATTGGAAGCAGGGTATCGTTTTTCGTTCCCGACCCTATCGTTCTGGAAGGTTTCCGATTTTATGAATCAGCACAACCGAGCCCTGCAACTATCTCCTTCTAAACTAAAAACAGAATCAACACGCTCCGAACCGAACCACCGGTTCGGGTCTCCGGGCCCAGCAAGGCCAAGGCGATGTCCCAGGCTCCAGACCTGGGCCGTTGGAACGAACGTGCGATGGAACGGCCGGGGCCGTACGGGGCCGTCGGGACCAAGAAAAACAGCAACACATTGACATGTTGTGTTCCTTTTCACTGACTCTTGACACCTCAAGTTGGTGTATTTCCTGAATGTTCCTCTGATTCGTTCGAGGTTTCGCTGTTGAAATAGTTTGAATCCGCGTCTACACATCTACCATGCATCTCCCAGACCATCCATGGGACTGGCCTATTCACTGATCAGGCCAGGGCCTCAGGGGTGGTTGACCTGGGGTCAATGTATACAGGCATGGTTATGACAGTCCCATGGATGGTCTGGGCAAACCAAACAGTTTTCCGGAAAACAAAACACAGCCACCGGCCTGGCCTGGCCGCCACACTCAGCGCACTCGATAAGATCTGTGCGTCCGCGACCAAGCGTCCAAGCCTGGCGGAGAGGCCAAATGCTGCTGATCACCCTCCAAAAGTGGGGTAAGCCTCATCAAAAAAACGATTTCACAGCCTTGAGTGGAAAGCCTCAAGGCTATAACAACCAATTAAATTTGCTCCATAGCCCTGGATCCACACATATATCATCCTTTTTTAGGGTTCATGATCATGTGTTTAGTACTTTTTGTGTAGGAGGGTCCAAGTTGCTGCTGGAGAAAGCATGTGGATCCCTAAATGTTTGTCTTATATCACCTTCATCAATCTATTTTCCAATCTCCCACATGCAAAGATTCAGAACCAATGATTCTGAACGCTTTCCTGTAGCTTCCCCAGATCAACCCACGAGGACCGTTGCGAGGGTGTTTCTTTCCGTTTAATGTTTGGCAATGTTCGTGGAGGACATGTTTTCATACCGTTCAATGGCCTCTCAGTGCTCCACACATAGCTCCTGGCCGGCCAATGGGCCACCTTCATGCTGTAAGATCTTCGCCGGAATGCCATTGGCTTCCTTCCCCGGCACCTTGGACCCCTCCAATGAGAACTGCGTAATATGACTTTCACATAAGGAGGCGGACTTTTTTTTGAAAATCCAATTGAAGGTCTAATCACTATATACAGTATATATATACATACAACTACGTTCATTCAACGTGTTTAGCAGGTGGATCACCATCACCATCCTATTTGACACTGCCAGCTAATTGGAACCATCCAGCATGAACCTGTGCAATAGCTACAGCAACCTGCCGTTGCAAAAACCAACGGCCAGGACCAAATGGCATTCTACTATGCTGAGGGTATATACCCTCCTGCAGGTTTGCATGGACACTCGGATTATATTTTTCTCTGCGAATCAGTGCTTGTCCACTTCCCATCCCATCATGATTTCCTGAAAAGGCGCGTTAAACATGTTTTTCTAGTGCACCTTCAGCTCACCGAGACTCTCGACTGGAGCGACCAAAAAGAGCTGCTGCTTTGGAGGTGCCCAAAGCCAGCCGCATTTTTCCGTGCCTCAGCTCCTGCAGGAGTTGGACGGCTGCTTCCCATTGTCCAGCCTGACGGTCTCTTGCGACAATCTGACCCCAAGATTTTATGCAGCCTAATCGGAAAGAAACTATCGGAAGATGGCGACTGTGTGGCAAAAACTCCCTTCGGTTGAAACAACTCCCGTGTCTCCTTCTTGGTGGCACCACGCCACCATGCAACACACCCTGCAACGTGCACGTCGAGTGAACCAACGTGAACACTTTGTGAAACATGTGGTCCGCACATGTGGCCTGCTCACAGGCGCCCACGGCTGAGTGAAACCTGGGGGTGCTGAAAGGGGATGGGAGCAATGACCCACCTGGGACCATGCAGCGAACGAAAGAAAGGCCAGGCTATAGGCTGGAAAAGGCGCCGTGCCCGCTTGCGCCAGGTATACTGGTGCCATGAGAGCCACAGCCAAATCATGTTTGGATGATGTGGCTCATACAATAAGACCCCTGGATCGACAACCTGTGCAGTCTATTTACCTTTTTACCCATGGGTTTGGATGGCATCCCGTCTGAGCAAGGTTGATATGGAACGATGTCCATATTACAAATCTGACATCAATTCTCTGTAGTTTCCCAGCTTCCTGCATCTCAGGGGGCAGGCACAAAACCGGCGCCGTGGTCAGCCCCGAAAACATGGAAAGCACTTGAAACAAAAGATGCGAGACTTCTGCGACATGCCAACCCAAAAGAAAATGCTTCACGTTCTTCCTTTGCCCCCACTCGGATCCTATGACTATGACCGCTGAAAAGGTGACTCTGCATTGAAAGCTCAAGCAGCCAAAACTGGTGGCCGAACTGCCGGGACCATCTTTCCAAGTTGGGCATATCAAAAAAAAAGACTGGTTGCCGGTTTCAACTCACTAGAAAATGCTAGTCAGTCAGTGGTTGAACACAATACAGTATCTGAACATATCTGAAACCGCATGGACCCATCCAACCCATCCAACCGTGGGTGGGTACCAGTCTTGGTTGCCAGTCAAGGACCGGCGGATATCTCAAACCACCGGCGGAACGTGCCGCTCTCAGTCCTCGGAGCCCCCGGCGCCACAATGTCCAGTTGATCTGGTCGGCGTGCGGCGGTCAGATCGGTCGCACCCTCCCCCGTGGAAACTAGACGGTGAAGTGGTTCCTTCCAAAGCTGGCACCCTAAACCCTCATCAGTCTAACGTTATGAGAGGTCGACGTGAAGCATCTGCTAAAGAACAAAAGCGTGTCCAACTCGGACGGAATGCAACGATTTGCATATATACACGTCTTGCACGCATCCAAGCAGTGTTTTCGGGAGCTCAAAAACAATCCAATCAAACACAACATCCTTCTATAATCTTCAAAGTGGCGTCGAGCAATCAATCATTGGCAAACCAACAGCAAATCACAGGTTTTCTTGCATCAAAGAAAGCATGGAGTTTGCTAGTATATTTAATCATATTCACTCTACTTAGTAATTCGCTTCCTCCAACGTGTATGGCAACATATATGGCAACTCTGATTCTGCAATTTTGCTACGCATCACATCTCATGACCAGAAGAATAGAAATCCGTGCATGCCCGACCCTGGCTCCTTCTGGAATCTGCTGGAACGCCATCAGCGCATGTTGCCACCTGGGTGGGGGCTAAGCATGGAGGTTCCTGGAAGAACACAAGTATGGTGAAAAGGAGGCCATCTCCAAAAGCTGTCCGTCCATCTCTCAGCAGGGAATGAGGAAGGACCCCCCACCGTAGGCTCCTCAGTATCCATTCACTCATTCCTTACTACATGCGCCCGTCACTTGTTTCATTTTTTTGGTTTGCCAAATGTTTGTCAAGTGTCTTTTCGTTTTATTTCGCTGCTCGTCTGTGGGTTGTCTTCCCAAAGGCCTATGAATCAGGTGTTCTCCACAGGGATGACATGAAGCCGCGGTATTTTTGGTCACTTCGGCATCCTAAGCCCCGTGGCTCCTTCTCTATCGCCTCGGCAGCCCGACTCGGCAGCCAAGCCGCAAGATTTCACGGCGGAGCCTCAGGGTCCGGGGGCATTCTGACCGGAAGTGCTCAACACTGGTGGAAGGACGTCCCGGAATTCAAGCCAGGCAGGGCGCGGAAAGGCGCATCAGGGCGGCCACAAGAAATTAATGACATCTGAATTACACAAATGGATTGTCTGGAGTCTGGAGTCTTCAATTCTAGGGGAGCACACTTGGAATCACTTGACGTGGGATTGATAAGGGGGCATTGCTAAATTCCTCACTGGAAGAGTTTCACGGAGCTCTGCCTTAGGAATGCGGATGCCCTCATCTATGCACCCCAACCAAGAACCTACTGGAAGAGGTTCATGGAAACACGTTCACTCGAGGCCCCTGAGTGGCCACGGCTGATCGTCCCAGCATCTGGCCATAAGTTGCACTGCCTGCAACATGACTTGAGGCGAACATGTTTAGATGGTCCATGATCTCAAAAACACAATGTCTCCAGGTCATGCCATAGGCCTCTGCATAGTATGCTAGTATAAGTGCCTCCAGCTTGAAACGCAAGCAGAATCAACTGGAGGCCTCATCTCTCGCAGAATCTCCAGCCTTGCTGGGGAATGGGTGAATCAAAAAGGCAGCATTCCCACTATATAGCAATTGGATTTGAGTTCACGAATTCCTACGAATTCAGTGTCGATTTTTGCGAGGCGGGCATTGAACTTGACCCCTAACCCCGTGTGGAACCCAATACACATATACACATATACATACACAAATACACATACACACAATATGAAACATCAATGATGCAGCTATTTGCCTTGGTTGAAGTGTTCATCTGCTGTCTCAGATGCCCACGTGAGAATCCACTGATTGCAGCGACCTGGCTTGACCGAAAAGCATTGCAAACCCGAGAAGTCGGAGGCCTCAAATGGAAAGGGTTTGGAGGCTCTGCGCAGACCAAGGAGTCCAAGGGTTCTGGAAGTGAAGTCTGAGAAAGGTCCTCCTTGTTGCTCCCCACAGCATGGCAGCATGGACTACATCTAAAGAGTTCGGTGACACCCATTTCAGGTCGGCAATGGTATAGTACAGTAGTACAGGAAGAACACCTCGTTTCTCTTCAGCTCATGGTGGCGCTAGAAAGTCATTAGCATCGATTGTGCTACCTTTCCCCACATCCCCACACACATTTCTGAAAGGTTCCGAATGCACGCATACCAATGTCTCAATCCACGCATATATGTTCCATTGAGATCCATTGAGGAAGTGCCAACCCACGCTACCTGGGACCAGGCCAATGGTCTATGAAATGCTCGGAGTTGTCACTGTCTCTAAGCTTTGGACACATACCCTGGGAACACCACCCTTAATAACTACAATAAGCACTTGGCCCTGCAGGGTGAAACAAGTTGCGTTTTCAAGTTTTCATGGCCACTTTTGAAGCAACATGGTTCACATCATGTCCATGAGAAGGCAACTCCATCACAACACCCCTGAAAACCCCGTAAAACAACATACTGCCAATGCGCCGTTTGGTCTCCTCAACAGCTAGGAGCCACACTCAACCCATCAGCAGCCGCGTTGTAGGCAATCTGATTGGGACACAGTTCTTCGGATGACCTGATGGGCACTGTTCAAGTCACAAATCGGAACCCGGTGCAGCAAGATCGACCTGGTTCAAAACATTCTATACAATCATCCATGGCTAGTTGTAGAGACGAAGAAATTTCCTCGCAGTACAGTGGAATGGAATGCCCAGCCCAATACTGTGAGATTTGCCTGTTTTGCGGCAGGTGAAACAGTTCTAGCAGCTTCTATGATCGTGTGGTCGCCAAAAACTGAAGATGATTGAACACCGCTATATAACTTATAACTTGAAGATCTTAGATCCAGTCTGAGAATGGCACATGTCACGAAGAAGTGCAAGGCACCCTTGCCATTCAGTTCCTTGAGCACCTGCGAATCCACGCAGGAAGGGAACCGCGCGTCGATTCGCAATGGAACTGAGTCGACGCTCCAACATGAGAATGAAAATAACACCCCGCAACGTGTTGCGGAAAGGTTGCTTGCTTGGCTGTGGCTTGGCAGAAAACAAACGAACACTGCACATGTACCTTCTATTGTCATCTTTGAAGTTTACATCACACAAGCTCTCTTCGTCTACATCATCGAACAGTCTACAGTCTGCTCGTCACCCTCGAGGCCTGACACCAACCGCCGATTCGCGGATCTCCGTTCGAATGGATTCGGGTGCCCGGGCATGCACTGATGCCACTGCTGAGCATGATGACATCAACTTGCAGTCCTGGCACAATGCTGTGCAGCAAACACTCATCTCCGATTCGTTTCATGGGTTGCCTGCTGCCTGCAGATTTTCCCTTAAACAAATTCTGACACATCTCCGCTCCACTTCGATCCGCTTTGCCGCTCGGCTTCTGAAGCACGCCCACACTCCTGCTGCCCGTGTAGTGCTCAACAGGCTTAGTGAGAGAGCCTCGAAGCGAGAAGTGCAGTGACTTCAAACATAGACTGAGCAAACCCAAATCGGGATTGAGGCATGCCAACAGAATCACTGCTCAATTGCCCAATTGGTTTACCTTTGTGATTCTTTGGGCACATGCAATTGAAGCTCCAAGAGGTGCTTGGAAATGGCAATGGCTTCTTTGCAGCCCACCAAGCCTCACACCTGGTGAGTTTCCAGCTCCTCATGTTTCTCATCTGCCTGAGGCTCCAGGCCCACTCGCTACCACGAGCACATGCGGTCATGGCCTCGGTCTCCGGTCTCAGAGGCTGAGAAATTGGCCAGGAAGTGTCTGGTCCCAGGCTTTGCTGTTTTCATCATGTACGGCAATATGTCCGGAGACTCTATGGTATTCTATGGTCATATATAAATATAACTATATATATATAGCTATATATAGAATCGATGACGTATATGGCTTTTGTCACGAATTGTTTGATGGCATCGTACAGCTCTGCCCAAAAGCCGCCCCTCAACTCTCCAGCTTCGTCTCGGAAGCTGAACGCGCTTCTCTCAACCAATCCGCCACATCCCATCAGCACAAGCCAAATCAAGCCAATATTGAGACGGACAACTTTTCCGTTGCCTCGAAGACCTAAGGTCTTCTTTCGGCAACGAGTCCTCTCACCTCTCATCTCGCCGAGTCACCGCGCTGCAGCAAATCAGTGAGGACTCCAAATGTTCCGAACGCCTAGGTGACGACAAGGCCACAAAAGCCTCAGCCGCCTCCTTCGCTGACAAAAAAGGGTACGAAATAACAAGGCCACGCTTGCAACACATACTGCAAACATCTGCAAAACGGGTTCCAAGACGAGGGACACGCGCGCGCACACACACACACACACGTCTTCCAACTTCCATCTTATGCCATAAGTTCCGTCTTCCTCTCAAAAGGAGCCAGTGCTTCGTTCGCTCCGGAGATTCCACGGCCTCTGGGCACCCCCAACTGCTGCTGCAGTAGAGCTACCGCGCTGGGCCACTGAGCAGCCTCCGGGAGGCCACTCGTTTCAAACAAGGCAAGCTTAGCGGCGGGGGCTTCATGTTTGAGCACCAATGAGACTATAGACAACCCTCGGTGCTAATTTGGCAAATTTGCTGCAGGATTTGTAGACGTGGTGAGCTGGTTGTGGTATGGCGTCTTGGTAAGTCAGAAATACCAGCTGCATCCAGCTGCACAGTTTTACAACCCTCCTCGAGTAGATAGAATATGAATCTCAACCAAACAGAAAACATTACCAGCTTTGGATGTCTATCGTATTTACTCCGACTCCGGATCACTCAACAATTCCCACCACTTCATGCCAAGCTCCAGCCGACCTTCTCGCATGCAGAAATGGCTGCACCATACCTGTCAGGTTCGGCTGTCGGGTTCGCACATGATATTTCCTCATACAGGGACCCGGGAACCCGCTGGCAAATGGTGCAACAAGAGATGAGGACGTCCTCTACTGTGGTCTGAGCACTTTTGGAGGGAGCCTACTTCGGCAGGTTGCCGAGGTGGTTTCGGCATGGTTCGGTGATGTTCGGTGTCCTCTTTGCCGCAGGATGAGGGACAAACTTGCGGAGGATTGGCCATGATGTCTGGCTTGGCAAGGGTCAGAAATAACTGCAAAGTTACCCCTGACCAAACATGTGCAAACATTTCCGGCATGTCCTGGGCACAGGATGACATTGGACTCCAGTCTTTGGGAATCCATCTCCTGCATCATCTCCAAGCAGTGCTCCTCGGCTGGGAAGAAACGCGAAGCTCACTTTGTTGAACAGGTCTTGTGTTCCTCATCGCAGGCGAGGGACTGGAGCTGAGCTTCCCGCTTCCCATCACCAGGCGCATTGGGCTCATGATTCCCTTCTGCCAAGTTTAATAGCGGGTAGCCTAGCATAGGCTCTATCATAGGGGGGGTCCTAGGGGGTGAAGGGAAGCCCTATCACTTCTGTGTGTAGCCTATGCCGTAGACCGGATCCTTCTTCTCCCAACACCACCGACCTGGTGACATCTGGCCCTAAGCGTGCCCTCCAGCTTGCTGGTCGAAGATCTAGTTAGTCTCATTCTGAGTCATTTTCATATTGAGTTTATATAGGTCGGTGCACTAAGTCGAATCTTGCTCAAACCGCTTGGCCAGCTATTGTGGTTTCAGAGATGGCACCCCAAGATGTCTAAAAATGATTGAGTTTCCGTAGACACCACCAAACTTGGGGATTGTGCCATCTATATACTCTGAAACCACTGTAGTTCCGGGACTAGAATAGGCTCAATCCAAGTCAAGCGCGCACCACAATCTTGCTTGACACGATGCGTGCGGATCTTTCTTGCCACGATTGCTGAACAAGCTAGTTCCTGTTTCAGGATCACCCCTGGGCCGTTCACAATTCCACCCCCAAAGCATCATGTTGGACACTACCCTGTTCTAAACGACCTATACACGCTGCAGTGTAATCCTTCGACATTGCAGAACACAGGAAACAAACCAACAAGGATGTTCAGATTCTATACTCACTAAAAGAGGCAGGGCAAACACCCATTGGTGCTCCCAAGCGTTTTCCCAACCTCGCTCCGCTGTGCTGAGGCAGGACACCCAGCGCTCTTCATGTCCCAAGGTGGTGATCAAGGCTCCATACCTCAGTGGTCTTTGTTCGTCCCGCGGTCGCCGGAGTCGAAGCGTGACACGTCCAGACGTCTCAAGGGCCGGCGCCACGGTCGGAGCGTGGCCACGTTGATCGTGGTCTTGGCAATTCAACGGGTCCTATATCAGAATGAATCAGGATCATGAAACTGATCATGAATCATGCCCTTCGAATCTATAGAACTCATGTGGCATCAATTGACTGGGCTTCGAATGTGAACCGTCCCAGGCCTGAGAACATTCACATCAGAACAGTTTTCGCTCGGCCCATCTTAGGGGCCCGTCTGCAGGGGACGCTTCTGGGACTCCGTGCGTGGCCACATCCGGTGAGGGGCCCTTGTTTTTCATGCCCTCCTGAGATACGTAGCCATAGCCGCCAGTCCATGCACGAACGATTTAGACAGGAAGGGACTTCGGGAAGGGTCGACTTGAGGATTCGGTGTAATGATCAATGTGGACTCTTGATCAATAGCCCCCAAATGAAGTTTTATTTTGTAACCTCAAGAGTTTGCACTAGTGAATTGAGGACATTTAAAGTACTAGTGTGAACTGACGACTCGGGAGTCGCCTAGGAGGGAAGTCTTGCACACTTTGGCCTGCCAACACTTGACGCCATTTAGCAAGCTGCATGTCATGCTGCTGGACTATCCAGTCAATGAATCGCCACCCCAAACTCTCGACTGTCATGTGTGTAGGATGTTTGAGATGTTTATCTAAGCAATTTAATGGGGCCTTACACTGTGTCGTGAAGGTTGCACATCATCCAAGAACCTGCAATTAGAGAAGCGATTGAATGGATGGTTGTTCTGCCTTGTCACCTGCATGTTTGAAGCCTTTCTCGCACTGTGTCTTCAGCAAGAGGGGGAGATACTAGTTCACTAGCTGTTGGGGTTGGAATCCCTCCGGCTCCCTGGGACTGGGGAAGAACTGGATACCACCGGCTCCTTAGCTCCCTCCAGAGCAAAAGCCAATGAATATGATCTTCCCTCGCATGTCCTCACGTCTTCTAGGTCTAAGCACCTGGCTATTACATATTATTACAGTAACCCGCAATCCAGGTCCTCCAAAATCATTTTTTTTTTTAGCTTGCTTGGTCCCCAACGGATGGAGTGTCGAACTCCACGCAGGTGCACAACCCCACCCCAATGCCCCCCAACTAAAAAGATCCAGCATGCAGCATGCATCAACATGAGTCATTTCGACACCGAGTGTGCGGCATCGACGAGTTCAGAAGCATGGGATCCCCCGCGAAGACTCTCAGCTGCTGCTTTAGGCTGCTGCAAGCCTCACGGAGCAAAGGAGTGGAGAGGCAGGGGCCGCCGCCGTCCATGCTCTCGTCCGGTGCTTTGATGAGTGCGTCAACGTGCCGCACCTTCAGCACGCAGTTGCAACAAAAGGCATCTGGCGCTGGGCCATCCTGCCGAGCACGCAGACTCTGCAGACTCTGCACACCAAGCTGGCAAACACGGCACGCTCACCCAGCCATGACCAGTGGTGAAGGTCTCAACTTGGCGAAGTCCGAATTTTCTCCGTTCATTCATCCCAGCTACTGAGGATCTCTCCTTTCGCATCTCCTCGAGGAGCTCCAGCGCGGAGTCCGACCTTGGCCATAACACCCGGCCGCCAAAGCATTTTTCGCTCCCATGGGTTGGTAGAGCGGTTTCAGAGTAGATGGCACCGACCTCTACATGTTTATTTGTTTTATTATGTGTTATTGATGGGTTTTTAAGTGGATACTCCGCGATCACTGTACATGGGAGAAGCGCTCAACAAAATGGATTTACATGTTCTTGCCACCAGATCGGACAATGCAATGGGTTGGGAAGTGTTTCCCTATCACCACAAACAAGCTGCGATGGACAGGTGCACGATGGTGCACATGGCGCTTTGAAAAGACGCCATGTACCTTGTTCTTGTTGCTTTCGACCCTTCCGCGTGCAGAAGGCAATGATTGCACGGTCAGCGCATGAATGCCATGCCCATGTCTCATGTCAATCATATTTTATGGCTGACATTGTCTATTTAAGCCATGATAATCTTGAGTCAAAACTTTAAAAACTTCAAAAATCAGCATTTTTAGGAGCCATTCATGTGAAGGACCCAAATGTTCCCTGGGTGTCTCGAATCCACACTATTTTGATACTCATAATAGCTACTCTGGTTTTTGTTGCTCTTCTCAACCCCTGCCTTGCCGGAAGGCACAACACACACCAATTTTTGCGAATTGCGTGTTTTTGTTGGGTTCATCTTGTCTAAGATGTGTCACGAAACATGTACTACTGAATTGTGGACCCAACCAGAGAACAGATTCACGTTTGTACTGCCGTTCACGCTTACACAGGTGGGCAAGCAGCGGCATGAAACAACTATATTTTGGATTGAGACAAAAACTGCCAAATGTCCTCCATCACGCCGTACGTTCGGAGCGTTTTGCGTGACTGTACCGTCGGGCGCCAGAAAGCTTCCAGCGAGAACGATTGGTGGTTTTAGAACTTTGGTGATTAGATCCTAATTGGCTAATGAACCACCCACCAATTGACAAAACGAATGTTACTGTTACGGTTCATTGAAGAAACCCAACATGAAGCTAGGATGCAAATGTCACACAACAGTAGTATATATATATATATATACAACATCTGACCAGACTCGGGCGTTCATTGCGTTTTATCAGCACACCCTGTGCCTCGGCGTTTTCTTCAGGCTCCCTCGCATGCGAGCGCGACCGCAAGTAGAAATGGCCTCAGGGTGGACAAAGGCTTCACTGCCTCATGATCCTGGATATCTTGTAAGAGCCTTCAGGAGCATCTGGAAGTTCATTGAATTCGATGGCTGCTGACCACTCTTAAATCATCTATATACATATATACAATCATGATGTCCTTGATGTCCTTGGCTTCGCCGGCGGTGGGGGTCCGGGGCATCCAATGCCCCATTTTTCTCGGGCGCACGTTCGCTCGCACACGTTCCTGCGAATCAATCTGATGATCGGTCAATCATGACTCATGACGGAAGAAAACACCAGAAGGACGTAAGTTACCTTGTTGATCCTTGTTGTGATGCGCAGTGGTTGATTGGCGGTGTGGACAAAATGGACAAGATTCCAGCAAACTTCGATCCCTTTGGGGCAAAACAAGACGAAACTGGAGATGCAAGGTGGCAAGTCCATAATTCGACACATACAGCCCACTACCGTAGATGGACAAAAAATCAAATCCTTGCGTTTGGCAGCTCTGCTTTCAAAAGAACATATAAAATAGTAAAAGATGGGCATTGCCTTTCCAGTACAGTTGTTACTTGGGACACCGCGAAAATCATCGAGGGTGCCTCATGTAGGAAACTTGCAAACCTTGCTCTTGCACTCCAACTGGATAACATGGACGTGGAAAACCACTTGGTTGTAGATGAAAGGAGTCTCCCAAAGGGGCACGATTACTTGATTACTTCAGGGAGTGTAAAAGGGTTTGAACGTTTTGTCCATCTACTGTAGTGCACTGCCACTAAGCGTTGCCAACCGGCAACAGCCCAAACATCCCCAATACATATACAGTATGCTTACCTCTCAGGCCCTGACAGTGGTGCATTGTTTCAGCGAAGGTTTGCCTCCCTGCAAGCCTAAGAAAATGCCATCACAACGGACAACGAGGCACATTCCGCCTAGGGCAGGGGGCTGTTCGTAGCTATATCACGAGACATTAAACATGCCAGTGATATAGCGCAGCATTGCTCTGATCAATGAAAACCTTTCCAGCTCGGCCAACTATTGAGCCATGGTTTGATTCTGAACACTGCAAGTCCCTAGTGCATCCTGCTGGCACATACCTTTCACCACATTGCTTAGTCCCTGAGGCTCTGGCGAACAGTTTTGACATCATCCAGTTTCCTTGCAACATAAAACTGCAATTGGCAAAACGACCGCCCTGGCTTGAGCGCAAGTAGAACACTCACAATTATCCACAAGATTTACTGTAAACTAAACATAATTCTGCTCCTAACTCCTATCTATCGTAAGATGATTTTCCGGGACTTGCGGTCCTGCGGGCGGTGACTGCAAATTATGTGCCCAAGTGACTTTCACAAATCGACGTGCAAGTCACAACAAATTCCATCAAATTCCCAAGCTTTTCGGGTACCGGTGATATTTCCGGTCAGGTTTTCTCGGCCATCAGTGGAACGCGTGGAAAACGGAACTGGCAATCAGTTACTCAGGGTTTTTTGGACATAGTGGCTTGGTAGAAACTGACTGCATCTTCTTCTTGTTCGACTGGTGGGTGAACAAACGTCCACTTCCCCGTGCCCACCCACCAGGGCCTTGGCATGCGCATGGCAATGGTGCTGCCATGGGCCGTTGGAGATGTATTCCCAGGATTTGTTGGACCGTTCTGCTGCCAGTGGGCAGGTGTTGCCGTGTTTCCGAAAACGGCTGCTAGTGTCTTTGTAGGTCGCTGCCATTGTGGTTTGTGGCCTCTTGCCGTTAGTTCTAGACTCTTTTGGCAACAGCAAGCGTCGCTGATCAAACACTTGCAGGCAAATGTCGAAGAGATCCCTCCAAGCGTTGGTCTGGCGGTCGCCAGGTCTTCACATGTTTGGCGCAGACCCAGCGAACCCAGAACTACCAGCGATCCCAGCCAGCGAGGCAAGCCACTTTGAGCACCAATTCTCGGCCCGCAGCAATGAGACAGACCTTGGGTCTCCTTGGACCCGTCCCCCAATCCCACTATATAAAGGCGGTCCTACGGTTTCCTTGCATGGCGATGTTTTTAGTGGTGGCTCCTCAAGTGCCTAAAATGCGTCGCATTGCAGAACATGTCCTCCAATAGCATTGCTATTTTTCAGCAAAAGACGTGACGAGTTTCGGTCGATCTCGTTTTACCTGGGGCGAAGATTCCCGCATTACTCATTACTCGCCCGGAGCTGCCACCCAAATCTCTTCCCTGGCTATGGTGCTACCTCCCAAATGCTGTCAATGAAACATCATTCTGAAGTGGTTGGTGCATTCAACTGCAAAAAGGAATTGCTTAAGATATCTTAACCCTTCCCAATTCAAGCGACCCCCCCAAACTCCAAAGCACTGGCCAAAGAGCTGGGAATAGTTTGGCTATGTTGGTACAAAAAAAGAGTACATCACATCATCTTGAAAGCTTGATGTGGAATCTATATTACAATCTATATTATACAGTATAGAGTAGTATAGACTAATTTATTAGACCCTCCAATTAGGGTTATTGTAACAGCTCTTCGTATGGAGGTGCTTTATTTATGCTAACTATTACTACTACTCACTATTCTACTCTTCCCCAGCCATCGACCCGCCGAGATCGTCTCTTTTCGAGCGAAAGCACCCTGCTACAGCTCCGTGAAGACCCTGGTGGGAGCGGCTCTGGCCATGGGGGGGCATGGTGTTTGTGGCAGAGGTTGGTTTGTTCCCTATGTTTTTCCCGAATGTTCGTTCTAACCTGTCGAACATGCCACAAGATCTAAAATGTCGGATCATGCCGTTCACTGTGGATGAGGCTCTTGGCTCTTGAATGTCGTTCCGTCAAAGTGAGCTGTTTGAATCAACATATAATCATACATATCTGCTACCGATATTCGATATCATAATAGCACCTGATTCCAAGCGGAAAAACGGATTCCCTCAGCTTCGAGGCCCCCAGTCAGCACCCACTTGGGACGGAAGAAACACTCCGAAAGAAACACGCACTAGTCTTCAAAAGTCTTGAAATATGCAACTAGTCTCATGATACCCTTTCTCCAACAATCATGGAAGTGGACAATGCCACCAGAACAAAAAAAAACATAGTTTTTCTCTACAGGTTTTTCCGCATCAAAGTCGCATGCTCTTGATCTCCCAAATATTTAAATCTCGAGCTGTCCGTCCAATGGTTTGCTGGCATCTTTTTACGAAATCGGGAGCAGCTAGCGACGTCTTCTGCGTCTAGAATATGAAACTACGAATCCGGAATCCAACTCACCACGAGCTCTACGCTCCAGGGAGTCAGGGGGATGCTACCCGTGAAAGCTGGGGATGTTTCACATCACGCCGGGTCACGAGCCGCTGGTTGTAGCTGGTCTTCGGGCTCTATTGCGATTCATCCTCCTCAGTTGAGCCGTGAACGTTGTTACCGATGGGTTCCAGGCAACCCCTGGCGTTTAGCGTCCAAAAAATATCTCAATAATTGCATTTTCTGAACAACTTCAACATAGCAGTCAATAAAAAAGAAGCCGCTATTATATTAGTTTTGAAGGTCTACAGCTATATTTAAAAAATACATATAAGGCAATTTCCTTGCAAATGGGTGTTGTAACATTACATATGGGTCCTACAGATGTGGCTGGCACATGGTGATGACTACACTTAATTTCCGCGTTTCCGTTTTCTCCACTGAGCACAGCGGTGTTGGGATGAGTGAAACACAGTGCATAGGATTTCACCCCTCACATCAGAACCTGGCAGCACAAGTCGAGAGCAGTTGGTCAACATGGATGAAAGCGCCAGGAAACTGAACGAGTAATTTGTCTTTTTCCCCTGAGATCTACTGGGCCATGCGCTTCCTAGA